TGATGTCACTCTACATACCACCATTGCTACAAACAAAACCAATTTGTTTAAAAGTTTTCACAAAATAAAATATATTAATATTTAATTTAATCAAAACACTAGCAATTACAGATTTTTTTTTAGCAATTCAAAGATAACCGAACTCATAACTCTGATATTTCTTTTTCGTTAATATTAAATAAAAAAATCGACCAGCCAATGATTACAAACCGATCTGGTCCAACCGGTAAAATAGCGAACCAACCAATGGTCTTGTTAATAAAATCCACGCTACTCATTTGACGTTTTTAACCTAGCTAGAACTATAAAATCAGAAGAAAACAATAAACCCTAACATTCATAAATGTCAATGATCGATTCAAAGGAAAAGACCGACTCCAACGATGATTCAACGCAGCCGGTGCTTGTCATGGACCTGATTAGATCGATCTTGGACCGCTTGAGCTTTGCTGATTTTTGTCGAGCTAGATGCATTTCTTCAGATTGGTATTCGGCTTCAAAATCATCCATCCGAGGAATAACAAACCCATGGCTCATCTTCTTTCCGAAGGTATATGGCGAAATCAAGAACGATACATGTAAGTTCTTCAATCCTCGTGACAATAATTTCTACACAGTTAGAGATCAAAGATTTGATTTCGCTTGGAGTTATTATTTTGCGAGTTCCGGTAGCTGGTTCCTCATGTATCAAAACAGAATTCTTCATCTTTTGAACGTGTTTACTCGAGAGAGGATTCCACTTCCTTCTCTCGAATCACTCGATGGAAGTGAGGTGATAGTAATGAGAAAGAATAGTTTTGTTATCTATGCGACTCTCGATTACAAAGGCAAAGATCGTCGAAAGTTTTCCTACGTAATGAGTGATATGACTATATATATGCAAAGCGGTTTTGTGGGTAGATGAAAAATGCAGAGATTATTTTGTTGTTTGGAGTAATGGCGATTTTTTGGCGTATCACAAGAGCGGAGATAATAATAACAATGAAAGCTGGAAAGTGCTTCAACATTTAAAGAAGAACGAAGGCTGCGTCGATATGGTGTTTAATGAAAGCAAGCTTTACGTGCTTAGGGTAACTCGAAGAGTCACTGTTTTTGATTTCTCCGGTGGTGATTCTCCAATGGAATGTGCAAGTTACCCATCTCCAATGGAATGTGCAAGTTTCAAATCTCGAGATGATGATGTTCGTTTCAGCAACAATCTTGCTGTGACTTTGTCTGGAGAAGTTTTGATCATTTCAGGGAGAGTGGAATATCCCTGGATAAATTTTCAACATTTCAGGCGGAGTGGAACCACTTCAGGGAGATACTTCTTCAACATGTACAAGTTGGATCCTAAATCATCAGAATGGAGAATAATCGAGTCTCTAGGGGAAGAAGCATTGCTTTTGGATCAAGGAATAACTGTTGCAGCCCAAGGTGGAGTTGTGAAAAACTGCATATATTTCAGTAATGGTAAGCTTCATGGATACGATGGATACAAGGATGCTAACGGTATTTGCAATTGCGTCTACAATATTAAAACCAAGAAGATGTTCAAGGTATTTGAACATCTTACTGCTTCCGATGCTCGTTGGTTTTTCCCCACTTTTGGTGGAGAATAATGTCTTTAAAAGCTTAATCGATGAGTTCTTGTCTTTTGGTTTAAGGGTAGATTTATTTTATAAAAAAAATTGTGGAACCAGAGTTTTGCTAGTTTTCATTTTATGTTCAAGGATTTGGAATCAAGAGGATTTATAAACCATACTCGAATATTTATCAGAATGTAATATTCATGTCCATTCCAAAAAGCATTGTATTGCACGGGTGATTGTCTGATCCTACTACATTTTTAAATCGTAACATATTGATCAAAAAATTTCCTATCAAATAGAAAACAAAATCAGTTATGAATAGATATTGAATAAATTTAAACAATATTCATTATCATCTAAATTATATATAGAAAAAAAATTACACCTACTTCAACCGGTTAAAGAACCCGTAAAACCGGGAAACCCGTTTTTAACCACAAAACCTGTCATGAATAGGAAATCTCCACCTCACGAATTGATAGTGGAAAATGGTCACTTTAGACCAAG